TGTATTTCTGTAGACGTATTAGCATCGATTGTAACCTCATTGGTGCTCTGTGGAGTGGCTTATCCACAATAATGATCAGTGGTTTGTGATCTGAGTGTACATGCATGAGTCGACCAAATGTTTTAATCATTGAATTTCTCCAGCGCATACACAATTGCTAGCATTTCTTTCTCGATCTGGGCGTACCTTTGTTCACAAGCCGTTAGTGTCCTACTCCGGTAATCTAATGGACGACCATTTTAAAGGAGCACGGCACCTAAACCAAATTGACTGCTGTCACATTGTATGCACAGAGGTGCATTGGGATCGAAGTAAGCCAGCACTGGGGTTTTTACAATGAGTTGCTTGACGCGATCAACAGCCGTCTGTTGTTCTTATGTCTAAAACCGCGGTTCTCTTTTATGCGTCAAACGTCGAATCGGCTGCATCAATTCCGCTTGTTCTGGGAGAAATATACCGAGATAGTTTATCATTACATTGAATCGTGATACGCCTTTCGCGTCGGTCGGGGAGGCATTTCTACAATTGCTTTTACCTTTCCCGGGTCCTGTTTGATTCCTTCACTTGTAAGTACGTGACCGTGAAAGCTGACTTCCGGTTGACAAAAGATTAGCTTCTCTTGTTCAAGCTTGATTCCGTCTCGTATACAACGCTGTAAAAAGCCTTCAAGCCTTCTGTTGTGTTCACCTGCATTTTTACCAAAAATTAGAGTGTCGTCCGCCACGCACAATACACCGGGTAAGTCATTTACCGCTAGGAGGATTCGTTTCTGAAAAATTTTACTTGATACTTTCAAACCGAACGGCAATCTTTTCCAACGATATCGCCCGAAAGGCGTGCCAACAGTGTTCAAGTCGCTTGATCTATCGTCCAGCTCCAAATGCCAAAACGCAAAGGCTAAATCAACCTTCGTGAAGTATCTTGCATTAGCTAATTCCGGCAGTATATCGTCAAAAATGGGTAGGGTGAAGTGCTTCCACCTTTATGCCTTGTTGAATGATTTTGGACCGATACATTCTCAATTCTTCAGACTTTTTCGTCACCACCACAACGTGACTCACCCAGTCCGTTGGCTCATCGATTTTATCCAAAACGCCTTTTGTGATAAGGTTATTCACTTCACGTAAAAATTCCTCTCTAACAGCAAGTGGGATCCGCCGCGTTGGTAAAACAACGGCTCGGCTGCGTCGTTTATGTGAAGTGTCACAATCCCTGGCAACTTTCCCAGTTCTCCATCGAAAACACATGCATACTTTTTCAGGTGGTATTAAGTGTCTTTACAAACGTGATGAACAAATGAATCATAATTAAACGACATCAAACCCAGTCGCTCGATGGACTCGTATCCAAGCATTGGAACATAATCCGGCTTCACGATGACAAAACTAGCGACAGAAGAGACTTCGTTTCTAGGATTCTTCAGTGTAATAGTGGTTTCTCCTTTTGGCTCCACGTTTGCACCGTTCCGCATAGCTAATCTCGTCTGGGTAGGGCCCAATTTGGTATCGGGTACGCAATTTCTCGGTATTATGTTGACGGGCGCACCAGAATCTAGTTGAAACGTTACTTCTTCCCCATTCACGGAATTTTTGCAAGTATGCCGTTCCGTTTGGCCGGTAGTTGTACGCCATAGACGCGATCAGCTGCTCAAACGTGAGGTTCTAAAGTTGATTCTTTCTTCCCGAAACACTTTGCCGCAAAATGATTACGCTTTTTGCAGTTATCAGACGCTTTTCCTCAAGCAGGGCAGTTGCTTCTTCCCACAGAAACGGCAAGCAGCTGTTGGATGTGTACCATTTTCATCGGCAATTTTGTAAAATCCATAATTCTCTGTTGTGGTAATCGTCTCGATATGCTTCTCTGCTGCCTTTTTACTCCGACATGTGTCGATGCATTGTTTGAATGTCAGCTTTGTAATTTTCAGGAGGCGCTTCACTACAGCAGAATCCCGTAGGCCAACGACAATTCGATCCCTTATTAGACTCTATTCCAGACAGACACAGAAATTACACGACTTGGCCAGTGAATTTAGCGACAAGAAGAATGCGTCGAGGGACTCACCATGCTGCTGTCTCCTCTTGTTGAAATTGTATCGATCGTAAATCTTGTTGGATTCGCCAAGACAGTACTGCTCCATCTTCAAAATCACCACCTGCCAATCTCCACGGTCCTCATCCGGATTGTAAGTGAATCCATTTATGGCACGCAGAGCAGCCGGACCAATCGTATGACGGAACAAAGCCCATTGTACGGGACTGGATTCGCGGTTCATTGGTGTTAGTGTACAAAAGTCTCCATACTATGTTCATCACAGTCTCCAGTTATCAGCCAATCGCCCCATCGTAGCGTTTCTTCATCCGACAGTTTCGCAACGGCAGTTTTCTTTTCTTACCTCTTGTTTTCTCTAAGCTTCTTGA